AATTTTCAATCCTTAGCTAAAATTTGAACATTTTATTGACTTAACTACAAAATGATTTTTGAATTTTGTCAAAATTCGAAATTTAAATGTTTGTAAAAAAAATTTGTTACTGTATTTTTAATATTTTTCAACTGCTTTAGTAACAATATATATTAGGAGCCGCTTTTATTTAAATTTTCAAGCTTTTTGACCCAACAAATGAAATGTTATTGACATTTATAGCCGCTTCAAACATGTCAATACAATTTGAAAAATGTATCAAGTATAGAAATGTATAAAATAAACATGTGGTGTAAATTTCAAGTATCTAAGAGATCTAAGGTATTCGTTTTTGAATTACAGTAAAATAAGAAAATCTCTAGTCGCTACATTAAATTGTTTTTATGATTATTGGACCAATAAAAGTTTTGTACCTGTTAAAATTTAATGGCATACGCTAATATACCTACTAACGTACTATAATAATTAAATATTCTTTTAAAATGTATAATAAATGCAATGTTTTCGACAAAATTTTAATCAACCTTCCGTAAACCATAGTAAAATAAGTTACATTAACAATAGCAATATCAATAAATATACTTGGTATAGGCTGACAGACAATCTCCTCCGCGCAAAATTGATTTCGTAGACAAAATGATGTTAAGAGGACGCCACACTCGCATGTGTTGTCTCCGTCTTACAATTGTACAACATAGCAAAAACTCTTTTGCGAGGGACAACTTTTCTCGCACCATATTTGTTGTAGAACTACCAAATTTTCACAGCACTTAAAGAAGAACTTTATCTGTGCAACAGCGTGCTCTTTTTTTCAATAACATATATACAATACAAGTTATTTGCTTCTAAACATTTGGTTTTTTAATTTGCTTATAAAAATGATTGGATGGTGCTATTGAAAAAAAGAGCACGCTGTTGCACAGACAAAGTTCTTCTTTAAGTTCTGTGAAAATTTGGTAGTTCTACAACAAATATGGTGCGAGAAAAGTTGTCCCTCGCAAAAGAGTTTTTGCTATGTTGTACATTTTTAAGACGGAGACAACACATGCGGGTGTGGCGTCCTCTTAATGATAATTTCTAATGATATATCATTGAATTCAAATTTAACACATCCATTAGGTACAGTGACCCACTCACAGCAAAATGGTAGGTACACATGTACCCACGCGTGCCTTTTTATAATGAAAAACACATTTGTCACAGTATTGTTCCAAACGATATTACAAATGTCGGGGGTATGACGCTCAATTAATTGTCAAATTTTTTTTTTAAACCACTTATTTTTAATTTAATTAGCTGTGTAAATTAATGTTAAATATACACATATTTATTATAATGGTTAGGTATATACCTAATATAACTTTATATATTGAGTTGGTATGATTAAACATAAAAAGTGTTTAATCTTTTAAAATATAATTCGTATTCCTAAAATTAAAAATGTTACAATCGTACCAAATCCCTCCATATCTATAATATAATATTATGTCAATCAATAGTATTTTTATTATTATTATTTTTTTTTTTTTGCCACAATTTGTAATAACTATAATAATTAGTAATAATATACATTGGCTGTTCATTGGAACGGAAAGTAGGTATATAGTACATTAGTTTGTAATTTAACACAAAATACTACGCCCACCCTAGATGCATTGTGTACAGTAAACGTCAAGTATTAAAAAGTCTAAATTTTAATCTGAGTTCCTATAATAATACACGTACTATGTATTATTACTTATCGTTACACAGCAGTTAGATAATAAATAATAATAAACAGAAACGCATTGTACTTGAAAGAGGTGAAACCTGTTATGGTGGTTAATGGGTCGAAACCACATTGACGTGCGATAGTTCGGTGTAAAGTTATTAAAACCATTCGTATTTCACATTTCGACACACCTATAGTCTATACTTTACCTATTATGTTATGCATATATTGAAATTTAGATATCTAGGTTTTTTTCGATTGTGATTGTTTGCTGAATATTACTAATTTGCATACAATATACTACCTAATATGATATTTTAATAGCATTTACTCTTACTCGCGCTGTTATCCAGTTGAACGACACTGTATAATATAACCGCTATTAAATGGATGCCGTTATAAAATTTTAAAGAAACGTGATAAACGAGATTACGGTCTATGAGAGCCAACATTTATTGCATAATAATATAATATAGTTAAGTATTGTATGTATTGTGTGTGTGTTTGTACATTTTTAAGAAGAAAAATATCCCAACATTTAAATTTTCAATGTAGTGCCTATATTTTATTATTGAAGAATAGACGTCACACATAATTACATAAATTACACTATTTTTAAAATGTCCAATATCGTAAATCATAATATTATAATATACTCTGAAGTCAATAAATTGTATATTTAGAACCCGGATAACATCGCCTAATGTCGTTGAACTAATTATAATTAAATTTAGACCGTGTTATTTTTATAATCCTGAATGGTCTAATGGACGACCAATTAATTTAGAGGACTTTTATATAGAGGACCCGTTGCCAATTTTTAATGGTCAATTTCGAATAATAAAATGAATTTCCGCATGTGCAAATTTATCCATATTAACTTTTTCATTGTGTCTGACCGATGACCAGGCAAGTATAAAAAATACGAGGAGCAATTCTCTATCGTTTTGACACATTTTATAATGTTGATAATGAAACTCAAAAATCACGTGTCTGTTCTACTTTGAAACAATACAGACACTAGACGCTTCCTTACAGTTAAATATGTTTAGATATTGTTTAATTTTACTCAACTGTTTAAAACATAAATGATATCACTTAATCACTAAGTGTAATATCGTCATACAACGCTATATATATTTTGTCTGAAAAATATTGCAACTTTAAATTAGAACAAGGACACGAAATATGTAGTATATCATAATAAATCTTTACTTACAAGATATCCACATTCACTGTATAATAGTTATGTATAATATACGTTTATTCATTTAAACATAATTAATACTAGTCAGTTGTAACATAGTGAGTTTATGAAAATAATTAAACATCTTTAAAATGTTGATATATTTTGTTACTAAGATATTTAAGTATTATATTAGCCCTAAAAAGCCCTCCACTGGTTACAACTTTGCAAGTTTAAAAATACCAGTTGAACAAATAATTGATGTGTGTATATTAATGTATTATATACTAGGAAGTTTTTAAGATTAAAAATGTAGATTGATAGATAATAGGTAAATTCACTCTAATACTTAATCTAACAACACAAGATTGGTTCTACATAACGCTAATTTTCTATGTGACACGTGGCACAGACTATAGAAGGGGAAAACAATAATAGTTCGCTGACATAATCTTCTTAAATAATAGTGGAATGTTTCGAGTTTTTATATAAATATTTTAAGAATTACAACAAAATAACAAAAATCGTTTGAAAATAAATCGTTATTTTTACGTGTGAATACTCAATACTGAATATCCAATGTCATCAAAATTTGATCTTAAATCAATCATGAAAATATATATGTGCAAGCTTTTGCTTAACTCTTTTTTTAATTTCTTGTAAAAAACGTAAAACTAATGAGGAATCTTGTATTATATTTTTAAGCCTTAGATATTAAAATTAAAAATCGTATGTATTTTTAACTACAGAAATCAGAATTAACATTATTTGTGTTCTTTCAAAGGTTTTCTTAAGGTTTTTTATGTTATAAGCTATTATAAGTTATAATTCGCTTATAAATTAAAAATTACAACCAGAGCCCAGAGGGCACATTGTATCCAACCAGCCGTTGGTTGGATTACCTAAGTAATAACGACCAACTCAGTAAAACTTTTAAACTTTAGAGTTAGAAATAAGTAATAACTATACACTTACGTACGTACCTCATGGGGTACGCAATCCATCGCAGGCTAGTCTCAGTGTCTCACGGCCCGGCCCACTAACCTAACTACCTACTCAATATATTCATTATACCAACAACCCTCTACAAAATAAATCATAGTTGCGCAGCTGGTTCTATAATCATTAGGTACTAATACTTATACATTTATAATTTATAAATGTGGTTTTCTGGTATAGAGCTATAGAAGAATGAATTATCTGTTATGCATAGCGTTTTCGTGGTAGTTTGGATTGTGTCACTTTAGGATTGTTTCTTGAATAATATACTTACAATGATATATTGATATTATAACCATATGTACCTATAACTGAATGCATTTTTCTAAGTTACTATTCTGGTTTTTATTAAAATGTTAATCCAGCTAGTTCAGAATTTGTTATGTTGATGGTATTTGAAAAATTATTACTAGCATTACCTTACAAGCATTTCGATTTTAGGTATATATAATAGTATGAGAGTGGCTACTGACTTGGCTCGGCGCGTTAGCTGCTATACTACTATCAGTCACGCAATGTGTATGTGTGTGAGAGTAAGTATCGGCCGCTGCCACTATTCCACTAGTTCTCAGATGGGTGGTGACCACCACATGGGTTCGTAGTGCGCAAAAACCTTGCACACACATACACGTGTTTTAACCATACCAACCTTACCAACAATACAGTCTAATGACTTCAGTCGTCAAACCCTTAATCCATTTAAAAAAAAAATAGTATGAGGAGTTTAATGAATTAATAACTAAATAAACTAGTTACCTATTGCCTATTGGGTATTCAATTTTTTCTCAGTAGATAATTGAAATATTGCTATAGGGCTATTATACATAAACGTTGTTGTATACTTATATAATAAATAACCTAAATGCCATCAAATTTGTTTTGTCTTGTATATTTTTTTATGTGTTCAAATTCCTGGCTTTTATTAAGTTTTGAGCTGTTAGTTAATTAATTGTTTAATTAATCCCGTGTTTAAATGCCTTTATATATAAGTACCTAAAGTACCTACCTACTAATTTACAAAAAAAAAATTTATAAACAGTTTATATGTCTTTATATATATTTATTATAGATTTGAATTACTATTCAAAAAAAGTTTCACTCGTATCAATCGAGTTCAGTCTTGCAATCTCTTGGAAAAATACCATTTTCTCTTCTTCTATCCCAAGTGTCTATCCAAGCATTTGGACACATTCTTCGATAAGTATTTTTGAAAATATCACAGCTAGTTTCGTCTTCTCCCAATAGATATATACATCTGTGGTAGTCGACGTAATGAGTGAAGCAGTACCGTGTAACATTAGTGTTTTGAAATCTCGGGTCTAATGGGCAGATGACGTCGGATCGTAGCTCATCGAGTTCATTCAATTTTGACATTTTCCTAATTGTTGATTCTCTGGTAAATCCTTTTTTTATTCTATTTAATTAATGAACTTATAGAAGAATAAAATGCTCTTTGAACTGCGTTATATATCGGAATTTAATGTACAAATTAAATTAAGTAAATAAAGTTGTTGATTTTGTAGAACATAATTATTTATTAGCGGCCATAAACACATTTAAATGCGCATGAATTGTAATTTTGTTAGTAAAATAAACATCACTCAAAATTATGCGTACATAATATGCTACACAAATTTGAAATTATGTAAACGCATATAATCGTTGAAATCTACAACAAAAAACTATTATGCTTGTGCCAAACTTCTGTCCATCGTTGCAGTCTTTCTGGTTTAATGTTTGTAATATTATAACATTTGAATTTATAATATAGGTATTATTATTTATCAAGAGTCCAGACTATTTTTCTTCATTCAATTTTGTGATGAAATAGCTATGAAGTATTAAAATAATATATTAAATACAATTAAATTTTAATACTAGAATATACTAACATAATAATATAGTTTTGATAAATTAATATTTTAAACTTATTCTTTATTGTTAAATCAAAAAGAATTATTAAAATTAAAATTAAAATTTATTCTGGTAGGTATACCTGACATTCATACTTAACAGCTACATAAAATTCTGATTTTAAAAATGTTCCAACAATCTAACTAAAAATCAAAATTTCTCTTTTCCTTATAAGTTATAGGTTCCTATTAATTTTATTGAAATAGCCGGAGCGTTATATTCTGTTCAATACATATAAATATATTTATAGACTATAGTCATATAGTAGCATCAGTGTATAACTACAGTATTAGTAAAGTATATAAATACTATATGTTCTAGAGTAAACTTGCTATTAACTATAAAACTATTGCATCATGCATGTAATCATTTTAAAAATAATCTTATTTGATATTTTTATGATATCGAAAAAATAATAAACAATATTCAAACAGACTCATTAATATGGTTAATAATATGATATAATCATTAATATGATTGATGCCATTGAGACATTTGTAGACTAATGTCTAATAATAATTTTAAATGTCTTATAATGTCTTTTAATTGTAAATAAATTTTGTCGGTAGTATACTTTCATTTTATTAGGTACTATAGTAAATAATAATATATTAATATTAATTATTATAAAATGTACACGGAATTTTTCTTAACCGTCGGATATAATATGTAATATAAAATTAACCAAAATCCATACTATAACTAAACTAACTACTAGTTACTTCTGATATTGCGATAATAGTATTGTAACAGATCGAAATCTAAAATCCACATAAATGCAATATAACAATATGAATATCCCACTGGCACTTGGATCCCGGAGACCGGAGTCCACGGATATAAATTGTTCTCGGTTTTTTTTTTACGACAAAGTGATAAATCTTTACTGTGCTGTCTACTGCAGTGTATTAAAACAGCAATAATTAAATTTTTATAACTTTATTGTAGGTATATATAATAGTGTGTAGTAACTATAAAGATTTCGCTCTTCCTCAAATCCAGTCGCTGCCGGGTCCCGAATACGCATATAAAATTATGTTATTATTATTATACGCCCGCCGCCCACAATAAAAATACAGCGCCGCCGTTTTCACTCCAACAAAGCTTCCGAGGCGGCTATTCTTTCTGCATACACGAGTCGAGTGGTGCGTGTTTTATCTACATGACGTCTGTAAGCTAATCATTTCCATCGGTCCGTCATCGTTAATAAGATTATGCTTTTATTTTATTTTTTCTTCGGCACAACACTTCTTGGCAACCTTCTATAATTATCCGGTTGACAGCGGTATGGCCCGATAACCGGACCGAAACATTTATATGCCGTTGGTCGTTATAGTATTACATACGGCCGCGCTGCTGTGTATTTATTCTTATTTTAATTATAAATTATGACTTTCTGTCTTCCGATATGGAGGGGAACATGGTGATTCGGTGCAGATGCTGTAATACGGCCGTTTCCAATCCGTTAGTCGGTGCGACGCTATTCAAAGCCTCGAGACATTTTCCCCCCGAAATCAAGAAAACCGCGTGAAAACATAATATTTGTACAACATTTTGCATTATTATTCTCTACAGTCATCTCTGACGTACCACACGCCGATCGGCCGATCGCTACTGAATTGTACTAAGCAGGTCAATAGAAATCCAACGGAATTATGGGTGTTACAGAAGAATACTACCACGAATGGAAGGTCAGTTTCGACTTAAAATAATATAGATAATAAATATGAATTATTATTCTTACACACGAGTGAAGGGTGGATTGTCGAAATCCACTCACAGGCTCACTACTGCAGAGCACGTCATTTTTATCGTAAAATTACACAGGGAAATGCATTATTAGGTTTTCTTTTCTCTTTAATTTCGGCACGAGGCTACACAACATAATTACAGGATAATCAGGATTACAGGACTAATCCAATATATTATATTGGATTAGTCTGGTTAGATTTTGAAAACGATTACCCATACCTATGGACTATTGTGAAATGTTTATGTTTTCAAATGAATTGTCTATAACTGGAGATTTTTCCTCTGGTCTTCAACGGCAGTTATAAGGATGAGATTTTTAATAAATCCAGTTGATTATATTTTTATTTTCGCGTAAAGAATAAAATACATATAGTTTAATAATTACATTAATATAATTGTTTATAAAACAGCAAGTTTCCTACTATTTTGTTTAGGCCAATAGTCTTTGTTTTCTATAAACGCAGCTATATTTAGGTACGGATTAAAGCTACAAAAAACAGTAGGTATACACTGTAAAAAGTGTGTAATATAGGAATTTTGTTTTAAATATTTTTCGATTAAACTTATAGATGCCATATTAGTATGTTAGATACCTAGGGTGTAGCTTAGCAAATACTATAAATTACATAGGTTAACCGGTGACGGGTAATTTAGTTAAGTGTGCAATCCCAATGCACATAAAATATTATGAATTATGGTAATATTGATATTTTATGATATTTATATTAGTAATAAAATGGCTCTCATGTTTTTTGTTTAAGTACGTTATAATAAATAATTAAATTATGTCGATGTCTTATACTTTGGAAAAGCGATTAGCATAAATATTAATAATAATACGGTACCTATGCATCAGTACATCACATTAAAATATATTGTTATTATTTTTAAATAATATTATTACCTACTGAACAAATTAATTTACATATCTAGTACAAGCGAATTATAAACAATGGGCTGGAGCTAATAACATTGATTTATAAACATCAATAATAGCTATTAAAAGTATTATACATATTAAGCTATTATATATATTATATAATATTATATAATATTATAAATAAGCTATTATAACTTAAGTACCAATTTTAAGATTACAATTGCAAATATAATTAAAATATAATCGTTTTTTATATTAATTAAAGACAATATGTCAAATTATTGTAAAATATAAAATATGATTCATAAATAATATATGATAATAATAATAATAATAATATAATAATAATAAATGATTCAAAGAACCATAGTTTTAGTCTTCTGTTCTACTATTATAGATTTTTTTAAGAATATCTCTGGATAAGTGACTACAGTAGGCGTATAAGTACTTGGTAGGTTGTAGATAACCTCTGCAGTATAATATTATTTCATAACTCATAACTGATAATAGATACTTTAAATTGCTTGTACCATGCTACCGACAAAAATAAAATTAGTGCAGTTCCAACATAACGTTTTTTATTTTATCGATTTAACTGTTTAGGTTGATTGTGGTGTTTAAGTGCTAGGTTATTAGCACTCGTCCAGCACAGTATATTAAAATCGAATTCCACTTGACGATTTGTGAGCCCCATGAGCGAATGAGGCCGATTAAAAATAAACCCCATAGACACGACCCAAATTTCAATGTAAACATGTTGTATGTGTAATGGTATTCTTAATTCTTACGATAAATATTAATATAAAAACGTTGAGCTATATAACTTTGCCGACTATACGCCCACTCCTTGTGATATATACCTACAGTAAATATTATTCGTGTTTTGTTGTTGTTATTGTATCAGTCTATAGATATTTAATGAATATAAATACACTATAAAAAGAAACTGGTAAGTGGATGTCGCTCTGCTGTACAGTAGTTTACAAGTGGGTCATTGTATAATGGATTGTATTAAACTTGAATCCAATGATATAATATCATTGTATAAGAAAAACGATTTTGAGCGGATTGTTGAATTGTTATTAAAATATTTATATTTTTTATTCGTTTCTATGGTGATAAACAAAGCGTTAGAAATTAAAATCCCATTTTTAGCGGTTTTTCTTAGGATTTTTCTTTGGCATTAAATAACTGTTGATCAAATCGAAAAATGACCTCTCTAAAGTACCATCTTGATCCAATTTTCTTAATTATAAGGAATTATATGTTGAAATCGAAGCACTCCTTCTGGTAGAAATTTCGTATACAGGATATAAAAAAAAAATAAACACCATTGTAAAACCACTAGCTTCCTCGCTCCGGTCAGAATGTAAAATCATGTCCAATATTATAAAAATTACAATTGCAATTGATTACGAAAAAAAAATCAAAAGAAAACAATATGTACATTTATTAAATAGGTTTAACTAAAACTATAATGTAATCTTTCATAATAAATAATGTTTTCTTATAAATAATTTTGGATTATCGATTTTACACGAAATATCTTTGATATGTTTGTTCCCGGTAATTGTAGTCGTATAGTGTCAACAGTTTGTTACAAATTCACAAAATAATAATATTATAGTCTTGCTAGGCGCCTCTTAAAAAATTGCCGCACGAGATGTATTTGAAGGTCATTATTGGCTTTATTTTTAGTAGAATAATTTTGCCGACAAGCGCCCACTTCATTATAAAAATTTCCAAAATAAACTCTGCGCATTTTTGTAAACTAAAATAAAGTATGCATATGTAATAAAGACAACGTACAAACGGCAAAATTAAATAT